GAATTCAAGTATGGAGCTTTAATAAGTTGTAATTATGTACAATTTACTTGTAATCTTAAATTTTAAGTATTATGCATCAATAAACAATAATTCGTGTATAAAAAATTGTTTTTAAGAGTTTTGTCAAATGCTTTATAATATAGTATAAATAACTTTTTATAAAGATAATAATTAAGTATTTTATTAGAACTCAATAATTATCCTAATTATATTTTAGATTTTTTATATTTAAAATGAGATGTTTATCCTGTATTTGATTATGTTTATCTGCAGTTAGTTACACAAATTCGGATATAAAGCTTTAATAAGTTGTACTTACGCACAATCTACTTGTAATCTTGAGTTTTTAGTAATATGCATTAATAAACAGTATTTTACGCATAAAAATGGTTTTTAAGAGTTTTTGTCAAATGCATTATAATATAGTATAGATATTTAAATAAATTTTTTCAATAATTCACATACAAACATTTATTTTTTACCTGTTCGAAATATTTAACATTCTTATTTGAAACGACCTATATATACTAGTTGTGTATGTCGAGAAATAGAGAAAATTATAATTTTAGCAAGTAAAATATTGAATTTATCTAAAGTGCGAAAATATGTAAAAGTTGTTCGATTGAAAATAAAACGTTTATTATACCAAAACATGCTGCTAATGATGCTTTCAAAGTCGTTTTCTATATTTCGTGTAGTACAACAATACTATAATAAGTACACAACACACAATTAATCATAACTTTTATAAAACTAAAGAGATCAACTTCAAATTTCATCATAAAAAAAAATGTTAGAAATTCCATTAACCTCCCTCTTTTTTTATAACATCTTTTCTCCCTTATTTTACCATCTCTCTTTGAATATGGGACAATTTCACTAACCCTTTTTATAGTTTTTCTTTGTCTTTTTTTAATTGTGATTTTAATTAAAAAAATTGATTAATTTTTTATAATACTATGATATTTTTAATGTTTACAAATATCGTTAATCTTTCAAAGATGAGATGAAGACTGAAGTTGTTAAAACAAAGTCCTCAAATTCTTTTGAGATTTAAAGATGAATTACTTCTTAAAAAAACCCTATTTGATAATGATTTTTATAGGCTTCAAAATATTATTTTACATGCAAACAACGCCATAATTTAAAGGGTAGAACATTTTATAAATAATTAGTTAATTTTTTATTTACAAGAAAGTTTTATAATTAGTTGCATTGCAGCGGGTACAAAACTAGTGTATATATATATATATATATATATATATATATATATACTTGAAGGGTACTCGTACAATGCATCGAGACATATTTCGATTTCAATGTTTCGTTTTATTTTTTTATCTATGTCGATACAATACGATTTTATGCGGTTTTGAGAAAGTGATAATGCTTTTATTTTTTAATAAAGTATAAATTTAAAAATATCATATAAAATTTGCAAAAAATATATCAATATTAATATCAAATTAACTATTTAGAAGTTCT